AGCAGCTTGAGTAGAGCATCCTTGTAGATGAGAGATGATACCCAAAGAACAAGGTGTGAATGAATTGGAACAGTAGCTGCTCCACCCTCAGAATCAAGGCTCAATAAGTGTATGTACTTCCATTACATGCCTTCCTCCTTTCACAGTAATTTGGAGCAAAAAGAAGCTCAGCTACCAAAGAGCAAAGCAGCTAATAAATTCCTTTGGCCAAGACTCAGTTTATGTAGTTACATGCAACAGAAGACTGCATATTTTGCCACTATATCCCATAAAGTCACTGGCAGAAAAAAATGTAATTTACTTGAATATTAAATAGACAGGACTTGTATGCTTTAGTGAACATCCAAAAAGAACGACAAAGCCTTTTAGTTTCAGAAAGTGGGATCAAGTTCAGAACAAAATGGGCTTTAACATCAGCCCATATCCATCACCATTTACTCACTACTCTAGCTTGGGATGATACTGATAGCCTGGAGCAGGGAAAATACACTGCACATGAGCAGCAAAGAAACACTGCATCATGTAAATGAAACTCCTGGTAAGCCTCTCTTCAACGGAGTACAAAAAGCTGCCAATCAATGCTGCAAAGCAGAGAACATTATCAAAAAGGGCCTTTGACTACAATATTGGGAGTAAAGACCAGACCTGCTGTCTAAAAGATGCAAGAAGAGAATACCACAGCTTCAGTGCATGAAGAAAAAGGAAAAGGTCTGGTCAGATCCTTGTTTGCTTACATACCAAAATAATCCCAAGCTGGACTGGGTTCAATTTTCTGGTCCACAATGATGTATCAGTGAGCCAAGGCAGTATAGGATACCTGCTCACTTTCAACTGCCCTGCAACAAAAATGTCTGCTGTCAGTTCATTTAAAAATATGTTAATGGTTGTGCAAAGAAGAGAGTTGAGCAATTAGAAGAGTACTCGCATAGTTATTAAATCTTACTTCCTCAGCACAAGGTGGATCACCAAATAAACATGGAGATTTATGCCGAGTAAAAATTTTAAAAACATTCTGCTGTGACATCCCCAGATAGGTTATCTGTATTACTAATGGCAGGATTCTGGTCCAAAGACAGGCTCTGTAACAGTGCACAGAGTTCATGGAACATGTCTGATCATTAGCAATAAAGATGGGTTTTAAAACACATACAAGACAATCCAATATATAATTAAAGACACCAAAAGATACCATCTGAGAGATGCAAGAGAAGATCCAAAAGTGTTCAAGATTGTTATTGAGTCATTGCTTCCAATGATGAAGTGATTCTGAGAGCCCCATAAACAAGTCATTGAATTATAGGTCAAAGAATTGGAAGAAACATTCGAAGATCATTGAGAAACTATACAGCAGAAGTTGTGAATATTGTCTGCAAGTTCCTCTTCTTCCAAAGCAATCAAAGAGTACCACTAAGAACCAGCCCACAAAAAGATGAACATTTTTGTTTGTACAGCAAATTATGAATTAAAACTATCTGCTACAGAGGTATACTCAATCTCCAGCTTAGCAACGATACATTCTTGTCCAAAGTATCAGAGAACTAGTATATGGGACAAGATTTAATTAAATTAATGAAGCCTATGAGCCTGACAGTTTCAAAAAGCACCATCATGGATTTTGTATCACTTCTGTAGTACCAGTAACTAACTATGTTGGCATCAGAACCCTCAAAAATAATGGCTAACTGCATCTGTCCTACTCTAACATCTTGCAGAAACAAACCTGCATACACTCTTGACTTTACTTCAAATCTTTTCAGTGCTCAGCCATCAGCTTCTGAGTAACACATATATATCCAACATTCTTACATATTTCCATGTGTCTCTGTAATGCATTCAAGACAGCAAGATCCTTTGGCAGTACAGACAACAGCCTGCCACAACTGTATTATCAGTGTATAAACTGTACATCCTCAGCCACCAATTAACACATCTATAACCTTTCCTTCCAAACACTTCAGCGTGTATTAATTCCCAACACCTAATGCCAGCTCCAAATACAAAAGCTAATGTTTTCACAAGTATCGTAGCTCAACACTTAATTTTGTCATTAAGTTTCACTGAAAGCTAAACTACAAGAGAACGCCCTCTTACTAGCCACTTTATGGAAACTAAGAAAGAAAATACTTAATAAATATTAAATAATCTATTTGGGATACCTCCAAAACTCACTGAAAGCTGATTTATACTTACAGGCCTAAGAACTTACCACTCTGTTGGAAGAGTTCTCACCATGCATGAGACTATCTAAACTGGTTTTAGAATCCTGCTGAAGGCTAGATGGACTCTGTCTTTAACAATTTTCTTCTAACTTTTAAAATACTTCTCTGCAGTCTAAAAGATGCCAGAAGAGAATACCACAGCTTCAGTGCATGAAGAAAAAGGA